CTTCTTTGAAATTAACGTGGGTTTGGCCGGTTAGTTCAGTTGGTTAGAGCATAGTTTTTTTTGTTTGTTTTTTTTTTTTCGTGTCCGGCAACGGATTGCAACCCTCAGTGTCGCGCCCGTACCGGACCTGGTTTGTTTTTTTTTTTCGTGTCCGGCAACGGATCGCAACCCTCAGTGTCGCGCCCGTACCGGACCAGGACCGGCAACGGGATCGCAACCCTCGGTGTTGCTCCCACACCTCGCTCAGCCAGTGAGCGGGAACCGGTCTGTATGTGGGATCCGAACCCTCGGCGGGAGCGCCACCATGCTCCCAAGCGGCGCACTGTAGCAGTGCGCCACCGGGCCGGCCCTAGAGCATAGTTTTGATAACACCAAGGTCCAGGGTTTGATTCCTGTACTGGCCAAAAAAAGAAAAAGAAAGAAAGAAATTAGCATGTAATTGCTTGAGAAAAAATACCCAGTGATTGGACGAGTGAATGAATGAGTGGATGAGTTAAATCCACTCTCATAGGAAGTCTCTCATTGGCTTCCTTTCATACCTCACAAACTTCCAGCTCTAGTTCAATGCCACACAAGCTTGACTGTCCGCAGGAATAGTGGCTTTGATATAGAATGGCACTAAATCAAGCACAAATCATCCCAAAACTTCCCTTCAGCTAAGATGTTTTATTTGCCCACTTTTACCAAAACTGCCCGTCCATAACTAGATTGATTGATGGAAGCCTTATTTCTCCTGCTTCCAGCCCTTTCCAACAAAAGGTAAAAATAAGCTGTGCAGTCGGCACAAGGCCAAAGCAGAGCAGGGGAGGCCTGGTTCATTGCCGGCCTGGTCACCTACCTCAGCATAATTGTGAGCTGATAAGAGTTGGTGCTGAGCTGCAGATGCCATAAAGTCTGGAGAGACCTGGCAAGGGAAATAGTGCAGAAAGAAAAGAACTGAACAGTGGGAGAATGTTGCTGGGGCAGGAGACCTGACTCCCAATCTTAATTTCACCACCAACACAGGACCTTTCTGTGTTTTCACCCCTATTTTGAAAAATGACCCCTGTTACCTGCTTGTTTTCTAAGGATGGATGTTAACATGATATAGGGTGAGCAGTTCTTTGAGCCTTTCGAAACTAGGGAGACAGAAAGAATTACAAAGCCAGAAATGACTGACTGTCAGAGCCCAAACGCAGCTACGAAACCATTTTTGTGCTGCTGTATGATTTGTTGCCCTAAGGCCCTGCCAGGTCCAGGCACTGGATTTCTGAGCTTCCCACGCTGTCCTCCCCAGCTCTTCCAGATTCCCATCCCCACATACATATTTCTGTTATCAGCCCCACTAAGTCATCAAGACATCAGCTTCAAGCCATCACTAGTCATTAATCTGCTTAGCTGCCATGATGTAGCAAGTCGTTCCTAGAAATGGCATAAATCTAGAAAAGAAAAAACTGTACACTGAGATTGGAGAGGGTTTTGAAGCTCACTACAGGCATTCACAATTTGATTCTTAGAATTTTCAAATAAAACATCTGAACTAGACTTTGATTGTTCTGGAATTGTCTCTTCATGACCCAAAAGGGCAAGTTTTACCTTCATTCTACTGAAATTTCTTTAGAAAACACTGATAGTATTATCTAAAATATTGAGCCCTTTATAGTATTGTGGAAAATAGAGCAACTAGATAAAACCTGAGTTTTGTGCCTCATAATGTTTGCAGACTAATAAAGACAACAGATGGATATACGACTACCTAGAATTGAGAGGATGTTACTATATCCTTCAAATGTATGCATCAAGACCTCTTTTCAATATTTTATTCTTGCCTTCCTCTCTCCCACCTCCAAGCCCTAACAGGTGCCTCTCTCCATATCTAGAATCCCTGCCTTCTTTCCACCATCCAACCAAGCTCCGCTCCTTTTTTGTAACTTTCCTTTTTCCTTAATAAGCCTTCTCCAAACCTATCTGTACCATTTGTTCTAGCATCCCCTCCAACCCCTAAAGTGCCTAAGTGTATTCAGTGTACATATGTTGTCTGCTGCAACTGCAGCATTTAGATCAAGTAATCAAAATCCTTCAAAAACCTCCTTATTTGGGACTGCTATCAGAATCATACCAATCAAAGTGGCAAGAGAGCTTGGGTTCCTGAATGTCTTTGTAGCTTGTCTGTCTCTGTTGTTAAAACAGGGTCTTGAATATACCCTGAGGTTCCTTCCTGCCTTACCAGTATTGAAAGCCAAGCTGACTTGACCAGGTCTACATTTCTTTTCTGTTGCTCTAGGATTATTCTCCAGCCAGATGATTCCTTACAGATCTTGGCACCAGTGGAAGCGGATGTGGGTTTCTACACTTGCAATGCCACAAATGCTTTGGGATATGACTCTGTCTCCATTGCTGTCACCTTAGCAGGTAACCTGAAAATCCCTGTTCAGTTCAATCCAGAAACCTTTATTGAGTGAGTACCTACAATGTGTCAAGTTACAGAAGTAACTGATAACTAAAGAGTGTGCAAGACCAGATCCTTTCAGGGAGACCTTAGAGCTGAATTTTGATAAGCAGAGATGGGAGAAATATCTGATGCAGAGAGAACAACATGAGCCAAGATGATGTGTGCAAATAAGTAGCATGTTGGGGAACATGAATTGTGAACTACAGTTATTGAATGCTCTCTGGGGATCTTTTCACTTCTCCTTATTCTACCTGTTGCAAAGAAGATTTTAAGACCCACAGGTAACTGGAATTCATGGCTTGGAGAAGGAGAGTTCCCCGGAACTTCTGATTCTGCTTTATTTCACCCTCTTCCTCTAATGCACCTGCCAACACTTTGCCTTTATCCATAAAAGTTAAACAAAACATTCTACACATGTTGACTTAAGAACTTTGCAACTTGGAGTATGTCTCCCAAGGTTGTGGTCTATGGTAATGTACTTTTATAAAACCTCTTTTACATAGGACAAATCTGTGCCTTTGAAACTGAAAGAGACCTTAGGTACCAGCTGGACCAGTGCCCTCATTTCTCAGAGACCAGGCAACCTGAGGTCACACAGCTGCTCAGTTAGTGGCAGGGAGAGGAAGCAAACTGAGGTCTCCTACCTCCCGGCTCCTTGTTCCCTCCACTTCTGCACTGATGCCACCAGAATAAGATCCTTTTTCTCAGAGCTGAATCACACAGTCTCTGTGGCGGTGTGCTGCATGTGTTTGTATTTATTCTCTTCAATTGCTTCTCGAATGATAATTTCAGATGATTCAGTAGATGCTAGAAAAGTCAACATCACCCCACACTGACCTCATCTGTCCATGCAGGGATTATGTTGTCACACTGTACTCCAGTCACACGTGCTACTCCCCTGCCTATCTGTTTTGCAACAGTATTTCTGCCCCCCTGACCTAAGGCTGATCTGAGAAGGGACCTTCAGCAGGCAGCTCTGCAGGGAAGATGAAAGTCAGCAATGGAGAAGGCAAGCTAAGGGGCCCTGGGTGAATTACAGACTGACACTATTAATGCCTATGTTTTGTGAAGAAAGCGTTTGCTGTTCCTCTAATGTATTCCAGTTGCAATCTTTATTCCCCACTCTATACAGAGTCCAGATGCTCAGCACCAATCTTGTTAAATCTCATCTGCCGTCCATCCTCCAACCTGTTTTAGCAAGGGCACTGCTGACATCCTTCCAATTGCTGGCAAATAGTGACTCTTAAAGGATTAACTCTCTCATTTATATTTAGCCAGATATGGTTCAGCTCTGTCACAGACTAAATACCCTTTGTTCACCCGAATTTAATACGATTAATGGAAACCTGTCTGGAATTCAGCAAGGCAATTGTAACATCAGGCTTGTCTTCGGCTCTTTGAAGAGGAGCTATTGGAGGCTGCCAACAGGTTCAAAGCCAGGGAAGAGAGAGCAGCCAAAGAGGCACCAGGGAAGGGGGAGGACAGGGGCTGACCGATGAAGAATGATCACAAACGCCACACCCAGGGCTTAGGGAGCTGTGTCCTCATTCTACAGCTGCTGGGGTTTGTTTAGGTCTGCTGGCAGGTCTGTCAAGAAGTCCCTCTAAAAGTAAAGGCTCAGAATGTGTATGTTGTGTTAAGATTGTATTTGCATCTTTACCTGGGATTATCATCCACAGCTGTGCCAATGTCTGCTCTCCCAGTCGTAGGAGGCTCACCTGCTACTGTTCTGAGCATACTTTCTGCCAAGTGTTGTAGGAGGCATAGCAATAAATAAAACCTGAGTTTTGTGCTTCATGGTAGTTACAGACTAGTGAAGGCAAGAGATGGATATGTGGCTACATAGAATTGAGAAATAGTTACAGTTTACTGCAAATATGTGCGTCAAGATCCTGCTTAGAAGTAGATAAGGTATAACCTAAACATAATGTAAATTTTGAGGGGGAAATGGATGTCAAGCACCAGTTATACTGCTTATTAGCTATGTGATCTTGAACAAAGTATATAACCTCATTGAGTCTCAGTTCTCACTTGTAAAAATGAAATTAATACTATTTTACAGAGTTGTTGTAAGGTTAAATGAGATAGCATGTGTGAAAAAGCCATTGTCCACATTCAATAAATATTAGCTTCCTTTTCTTTCTCTAGCACTTCTAGAATAAAACACATCCTGGGAACAATTCTGGGATATGTAAAATATTAGCCCAACTTTACTTCCATGGTTTTTTTTAGTATAAGTCTTGACACTGATATTTTTCAAGTCTGAACTTAGAAACTGTTTCAGTTCACTTGCCATCAAATCCTCATAGTAAATCTCAGTGTTGCTGTACTTTTAAAGAAATTGCAGAATTTTTGCCTGAACTTTAGGATAAATGTAGGCCAAAGAGGAAAAAAATGTTTTTGAGGTTTAAGATACTCAGCTGTCCCCATGATTTTGCAAGGAGAGTATGGACTTTGATCTTGCTGGAGTAGCTGTATTGACAGATGCAGGGAAGTTTGCTTATATTGACCCACAAGAATGTACATAGCATGGCAGTGGAGCCTGTGGGCTCTGGGGCCTCAGCCTCGAGGTTGGAATCCTGGCTGTCACCTCCTAAGCTGTGTAAACTTGAGCCACTTCTTTACACTCACTGACTCAGTTTCTTAATCTGTAAAATGGTGATAATAGTACCTGACTCAGAGGGTTCTGGTGGAGATTGAATGTATTCATTCATATAAAATGCTTATAATTGTGCCTGACATATAGCAAGCACTCAATATTTGTTAGCCATTATTATTTTCTGTGGGAGGATAATATGTAAAACAGAAGCCAACTTATTTTTACAGTAGGGGAGACCCCTTTCCAGACACCAGAATGCTCACAAACCCATGTCTCAGTGTCAACTGGGGAAGCTGAATTAGCCATCTGGAAAGTGCTCAGGGCACCTGGATTCAGAGGAGGGGAGGTGGCTTATGATGAGGAATATTTCATGTGGGTCACAGGCCTGATGAACTCCCCTGGCCCACAGCAAGACCTCTCCCATTGAGTTTGCTCCATCCCCTGGATTCAGTGTGTTGCTGATTCTGCCTCTGATTCATTCATCTCAGTTCCATTGCTTTCTCACTACATGATTTTTCTTTAAACATGTAAACACCATTAAGTTTTAGACATACTAAAACAGCCAAACTGTCCTTAATTTGCCCTGTTTTGAGCTGTAAAATTTTCTTTCCTGCTTTTTTGCTTCTCTCCAAATTTATCCATTATGTGTTGATTTTCTCTCCTAAGCCTCAGAGATTTGACAGTGCCTTGCAGGTGTCTCTCAGCATGCAGAAGGCCAATGTTTCTCTATCTACCTCTCTGGGGCAGCCCAGGAAACTCACAGCCATGTAAACACAGTGGCACAAAATTCTTCTCTCTTAAATTTACTTACCTGGATGCCTGTTTCACTGCTCAGAGTGTAGAGGAGAATAGCTTACAGTGGAGGGAGGATTGCAGATATAAGAATGTCACCAAAATGTCATATACCTAACATTTTGAAGTATTGATTACTTTGTGTCCAGATATAAACAGGGCTAGGTAAACAAGAGTTTCTGATGTACAGAGGTAAGCACAGAGATGAGAGAGTAAGATTCAGCACTCAGCCAAGTTGCTCCAGAAACCTTCCAAACCTGAGTGGTGTAGGCAAGGTTTTGAAGGAAAGCAGTAGTTTCCTGGCAAATTGCTTCCGTCTGGATCAGTGGAGTTTAGCTCTACTTACCAATGCAGATTAAGGCCTCTCCACGTGTAGACCACTGATGAGGTCATAGGCAAAAGGGAAACGTTTTTGGTTGTCACTGATTTTATAAGATCACAAAAGAGATACTGTAAGGACTGCTTGACATCATCAGTGGAAAATGAGAAGATGAGGAGTGAGGGATGAGTGTGTCTTTCATTGAAAGGAGAGCACACAGATGAGCTCATCTGAAATTTTCACAAAAAGGGAGAGACAGAAAATATTTCTCCTTTTCTGGCATGTTTTTCTGCTGTTTTATGAGTTTAATAGCTGACACATATTGTGTCTAATAAAGAGATCAGAGAAACCTCACTGGGAAAATTAAAATAAAATGCAGTTGTTTTTTGAAATCTGCTTTTTCTGTCCCTCTCCATCATGATTTAGTAGCTGCAATAAAAGACAAGCAATTGTGTAAACTTTTCATAATGTAAGTCATTTCAAATGGGCATTTCTGATTTTTTCAGCCAGCAGTTCTCTTAACCAAAGGAGGGTTTTGCTTTATAGAAAGTTAGACTCAGAGAGGGCCTTGTCGCCAGTGGCAAAGGCTGACAAAGGGAAATTTGCTCCAGTGCACTAGACCAAAGGGAAAGGTAGACAGGCTTCACTGTGTTCCTGACGGTTCTCTTAGCCACGTGGTAACAGCCATTGACTGATTCAAGCTGCCATCAACAGGACCTCATTATCTGAAGGAATCCTGAGTAGCCAAGACCCTTAAGTTTTCCTCAGTACATACAAATGTGCGGAATGCCCACCGAAGACTCCAAGCTTTTATAGAACTTGCATAAAATGGATGAGAGTATAGCAGGAGAACCCAACTTACTCAGCTGTCAGTAGACTGTAGGAAACAAGGAAGCACAAATGGCCCAAGCTAGCCCATCTCAGTCCTGAAAAAGCAATTCCCACATCTATCTGATGGAACTCAGGAAGGATGGGTGGTGGAACAGGAAGTGAGATGTGCCATGTCTTTGGTTAGTGGTTTCAGGAGAAACTCCAGCATCACATGGCTGTACTTGTCCAAGACCCTGCAGTGGAGCATGCAAAGGACTTTATGACAGAACTGTAAAGCCTTGTTCCCCTTAGGAGTCATCAACTTCAATTAAATAATTAGAAGAAGTAATGGTAGTAACCTAACATACTGGCATTAGCAAAAAGAAATCTATGTATCTAAAGAGAATAGTCACAGAAACAGGATAAGAAAGGGAAGCCAT